GCAAGAGACTGTCATGAAAATGGTCCAGCGTAGATTATTGGCCGACCCTGAACTTCTAGTCATCTGCCTGCGATTTGGGGCTTCCATTGTGAAACCTGTCTCTTATACACATCTAGATGTGTATAAGAGACAGCCTTATCTCTATACCTCCTAAATGCTAAAGCGCTCCTCAGCTGAAGCCCCCTTCCTCTCCCCCCCCCAAAAAAAAGGGCCCGACGAAAATCCCAGGAGGGAGGTGGCACCACTGGGATGCGCGGCACTGGGAAGGGACGGATTCAAATTGCGGGCAGAACAGCCTTTTGCACGAGAGAAGCGGAAAAAGCATGGTCAGAGTATGACCTGAGGCTGGCGGCGCTATTGATGGTTTTTGATGAGTTTAGTCGTCTCGTTTTTTTTTCTTCCTTTTGCACGCCTGGGTGCCTGGCCGGGCGTGAGAATCTTCCTAGGTCATTTACCCCACCTAGCAGCCACACTGTATCCGCCAGCCCACAAAGAGTCATCCATTCCACATACTCTGACATGGTACCACCTCGTGTGACCTGGACCACATATCATCCACGCTGCAAAATACCACATCTGATGGTTCGGTCCACGTTGTATAAGCTGCCCCACATAGTAACACCTAACTCATGCGTAAAAGATCCACATGGCCTGCAGGCCCAGGTCAGTTGGCAAGGCACAAAGTTGCATTCAGGAGGTTGTGGGTTCAATTCCTTTTGGCTGGTACAACCACTCGATTATCTACTTCTAATAAACGTAATTGACCCAATTTTAGATCATCCTCTGGAATCATATAACTATCAAAAGTAAGTGATTGTTCATCAGAAGTATTGCACTTACTTGCCTGAGCATGCTTGGTGTCCTACCAGCTAGAGATAACCTGTTGGCCCCCCCAAGCCAAGGTTGGCAGGACCTTGGCCAATGTTGTTGGTTGATACTATGAGGCAACGATATTGCCCATTAGACACCGCGAATGTGGGGTTGGATGGGGGGTAGGAGGAGGTGCAAGTGACTGGCCATAAAAGTGCTTTACACTAGCATCGCCGGTCTCCCCGTCGGCAATGCGTGATCACCCCGGCATTGCCGCGATGAGGGGCTGATACGAGCCTTACTCTCGCACCACCGCTATGGTGCAAACCTACCCCAGGGGCTGGGAGAGATCTAGGTTTGGTTGGTGTTCCCCGGTACTGTAGATAGAGTAGCGAGAGGACGAGTGAGATAACGAAAAATGTTGAGAGTATATTGAGAGAAGAATATAGATTAGTTTTTTTGGGTGGAAAAAGAAAGATCCACATGGTATGACCCGCCCCAGGTCAGTGTGAGCTGACCCACATAGTATCACCTGGGCCACACAATATCGTTCGGCACACATAGTACCGGCTAGTCGTGTGCCTGATGTTGGCGATTTATTTATTTATTTTTTTCTGGGTGGCCCTGTCTGTGTACTTTTTGTTTGTGGGACCGTGTATGTTCGCACCGCCCAGTGCACATGGTGGGCCGGAGTCCAACGGTACCATCAAACCCTCGTGGCATTGTGGAGGCCATATAATACCGCGGACCCCACATGGTACCATATCCATGGGTGGGGCTGGCACTGGGCCGCAGCTTTGCTGCGGCGGGTCCACTTCCCTACACTATTAAAATCGCTAAGGGGACAAATCTAACATCCGGGCCGTCGTTGGTCCTACCGGCTCACGGCCCAGATCGACCGAATCATGTAACAAATCTGTCATCCAGGCCGTCGGGTCCTGCCGGATCGACGGGCCGGATTGGAGTGTGGTCTTAAGATCTTAAGATCACGCGTCAATCCAGGCTGTTGGCCCGGTACCTTGGGACCGACGGCCCAGATTGATCAGGCAGGACCCGATCGAGGCCTTTCGCCGGAAACCGGTTTGCTTGCCCGTTGGAGCGGGCCGTTTCTGTGCACGGGCTTCCCAACGGGCAAAGTGGTTCCCGTAGGCTGCCCTTTTGGGTGGCGGCACGGGAAAATCCTACGCACGGCGGCGCGCACGTTTCGACCCCTACGCTACTCTACGCTCGACTTCGACTTTACTACTTTCTTGCACTACCACGCTCGACTTCGACTTTACTACTTTCTTGCACTACCACGCTCGACTTCGACTTTACT